CAAACCATAGTTTGCCTCATGATAGCAATGAGACGCTGGTCGACGTTCTTTTACGAACGAAACATTTTTCCATGAGCGAAATTCAAAGCTACGATATCAGCAGAATACTGATCACTGATTGCTTTTTTAATTGATGAATTGCAGAGCAATTTCAGGATGGGATTGTTTGCTTTCCGAATAAATTCATAAACAAACCACAAAATTTATCTCTTTTAGCAAGTTGTGCTATTTCTTCTAAATCTTTTTCCGCATTATTTTCATCGTCGTTGTTCACTTGAATGTTATGATACTGATTATAGCGTTCTTCCAACTGTCTGACCGGATCCCATTTCTTTTCGATTCGAACTTCATCACGAGCCTTTTCAATCAAATCGTTCACAGTTTCGTGTTTCACTTGTTCGTCTTTCCTCCTCGTGAAGATCTGAACTCATTGAGAATAGCTTCTCTTGATGCGCCAATTTTTCATGTTTTTCAATTTCGATTATAAAACACTCAAAAACGGTCCCTTTACAAACTCTAAGAAGTTCCTATGAGTCTAACTGGAGTATTTGGGAAGGAACTTTAAACTTCAACGGATTGTTTTTTGTTCAAAATTGTTCAGTTCGATCGTAACGAAGTGAACCAGCAATGACAAAACCAGCTCGTACCAATGATGGATGTCGAATCTCTTCAACAGAAACACCACGCAGAGCTGCTAAACGTTCTTCAATTTCAGTCACGCTCGCTGCTGGCTTCACTGATCCTTCAATTCACAAATCGATCAGTCACCAACACATACCTGCGTTCCTTCGATCGGCAATGAAGACTTCAGGGTGATTATCATTCAAATAGAGTAATGTTCCACTGATCTTTCATACATTCAATATGCAAATGACATCTTGAAGATGTTTATACTTGTTTATTTGACTGTTTGTTAAACCATGTTAAGATGTACATGTGTATGTATGTATGTATGTGAAGGCGGTCTCATGAAACTCAACGAAATTTTCATGTTTTGCTTTCATGCTGATTGTATCAGACTTCCATTCAATAACTTGAGTTAATCTACTTGTTGATACCTGTTGAGACCATAGTTGATGTATGTACCTTAAAACATTTACATATATTATAGATTTATGCGTTAATCACCTTGCTCCAAAAATGCTCGTTCTTCTTTGAGTTTATCCAATCGTTTCTGCATAGCTGCCGGGTCGTCCCGAGGTGCCAGCGGTTGCCTTACGGCATCAACGCCGCGAGGATCATGNTTTACATATATTATAGATTTATGCGTTAATCACCTTGCTCCAAAAATGCTCGTTCTTCTTTGAGTTTATCCAGTCGTTTCTGCATAGTTGCTGGGTCATCCCGAGGTGCCAGCGGTTGCCTTACGGCATCAACGCCGCGAGGATCATGAGAAGAAACTGCTGAATAATATAATGGATTAAACGATGTGTGATGTGTGAAAAAAGAATTCCATTTGAATGCAATGAAATGCTCATCGTATCAGAGTTTCATTCAATAGTTTGAGTTATTCTACTTGTTGATACCTGTTGAAGCCATAGTTGACGTATGCGATTCAGTTCAAAATTTGATCAGAACAAATCAACATGAGAAAGAGATGAATTTTTTTGTTTCACTGATATCAAATCATCAGCGATTTCATGCACTCTAATGAATAACTGTGTTACTTTTCAATGTCGATACATCTATTAATAATATGATGAATTAAGTGATATGTGATTTAGATATATTTAATCGCTGATCACCTTGTTCCAGAAATGCTCGCTCTTCTTTGAGTTTATCCAATCGTTTCTGCAAATCTACCGAGTCGTCCCGAGGTGTGAGCGGTTGCCTTACGGCACCAACACTGCGGTAATCATGAGAAACTGCTGAATATGGTGGTGGGGGACGAACTGGTACTGATCGTTCAAAATGCTGATGATAACCACGACCGATAGGGCCACCAGCTCCTGTTCCTGCACCTTTCAGTATCAAACTTGGATAAAGAGATGGAAGAATGTGCGAGGTAGATGCAGAAGCGTAGTCTTGTCGCATTGAAGGTGGTGGCAATTCATCAGGTGCCCACCATGTGCCATCCGGATTCAGTCGTATATTGTGATCGACTAGAGCAGGATATTTAACCTAGAGTTGAATTTGCTTTCGAGATGGTAATATTAAATAAAATTTTATAGATGTCAGATTTGCTGTTGAGTTCAAAATTTGATGAGAACAAATCAACATGAGAAAAAGGTGATTTTTTTGTTTCATTGATATCAAATCTTCATTGATTTCGTGCATTCTTTTGAATAACTGTGTTACTTTTCAATGGTGCTATATTTATTAATAATATGATGGATTAAATGATATTTGATGTCTGATAAACGAATTCCACTTGAATACAATGAATTGCTGACTCAAGTTCTGGCGCATACCTGCTGATGAAAATATGAGTGAAAACTTCGGTAGCCAGCTATGTCTAGCTACATTTTATTCAGATTTCTTAATATTGGAATTTGTTGAAGTGATCATGGGAGGCTTGAAAATGATGCTTGTGAAAGGTCTTATGAGTGGACGGATGGATGTTCGTGCAATTGTTCGTGTTCGTGTGACGTTAAGCAATTCGTGTTATTGATGGAAACTGAAGAATGATGTGATTTGGTGTGTTTCGGAGCGATTCTAAATCACACTTTGCAGAGAGTATTTGAATGAGCTTAGAGGAATAATATCAATGAAAATGTTGAGTAGTACTCATACGGATGGATGTTCGTGCAATTGTTCGTGTTCGTGTGACGTTAAGCAATTCGTGTTATTGATGGAAACTGAAGAATGATGTGATGAAATGCTTGAGTGTGACGATAATGAGAGAACCTCGGTTGGACTCGGTTGAGTGAGCTTTCGATAGCAATTGATACAAACGGATACGGGCTTATCGCTGAGAGTGGACACAACCGCTCTGTGATTCAAACAGTTCGCACAAAAACCGAAACCACAACTCGAGCAACCGTGCTGAAAGATTTTTTTGGATTTGTTCGGTGGGGTTTGAGAATTGTTCGTAAAAGTTCTGCAATCTGTTGAAGTGACAGTGAGAGAGGTGAAAATAATGCTTGTGGAAGGTTTTATGTGAATAATTTGATGGATTTTAAAGCGATTTTGAAACACGCTTTTCAGATATTTGAATATTTGAACGGAAGAGTTTAAACGGAAAGTCTGAAGCTACGGCGATCGAAAAATTGGGTTATGGAAGTGAATTGTAGCCATTTCGGTAAGAAATTGATGGTCAGATTGTAACGGACCTCCTTTCGACGAGCAGTATATGGAGCCATGCATTGTGTACAAGGCATTTGTCTGTCTGTTTACTGAAGTGGTAAATACCTGCAATAAAGTGAAATTGTAAACTGGAAAACAGCAATGACAAATTAAACGTTTAGTGATCACTTATGCACGTAAGAGTTCATAAATAATCTGTATTACACGTTATCTGCATAAGTGTAAACCGATCAAACGATGAGTGGACGTTTCAGAGAATCTATATCACAATCTGATGGATTCAGGTGATGGATCTGATGTTATTCACTCCTCTACAAGAACGGATTCAACGAAACATATGACATGGAACGAAGATTGACTATGAGCAGGAAATGATAAGAGTAAACTATGATTTTGTGCAATCAAACGGCGATTGTTATTGATTGTAATGAAACGTTCATTTGAGAACGAATCGTGCTTAATTAATCAAACAACGTCGTGGAGTGACAAGTACACATCAATAAATGATTTATAATTTTTGAGTGGAGCAATGATGTCGTTGAAAGTTCAAAATGTCGAATGATTCTTCGTAGATTTCATGGAAATTGACCTAGCGATTGACTCAATCAACTGGCGACTTCGTGCATCGGATAAAACGATGATGATGATGAAGTATCGTTGGATTCAAACGAAGAGCGAACCTTCATTAAGGACTCACAGGAAATAAATTCGTTATCCGGAAAATTTTCCGGATAATGAGTTCATACCAAGTAAAAATAAGTTCATATCCGGAAATATGCATGATTTATCGATGGAACAATCCGTCGAGTGCCTGCTTTCGTGCAGCGGCGATTCGTGGTGAGGTGTGATGATTGCTTGTGAATTACATTGACAACAAGAAAGAGTTCACAGATCATTGGAATTCAGTAGATTAAACGTAATGAGCGACATTGGTATGCGGTGGTGAGCAATGGGAAGTGCTGTTTATTTAATGAGACATAAGCACACGAGGAACCGGTTGTCAGAAGTCATTTGGTGATGATGACACATCATGCAGCAGCTATGAGAGTTACGAAACATGCCTCTATTGTACAGTTGCATGAAAGCATGCGTTAAATAAGGTATGTGTACTCAAATTGAATGCAGATACCATGCAAATAGGAGTTTGCACTTGTGAATAGCGGTATTTTTATGATTAGAAAAACATATTATTAGACTGAATGACTCATGCAATAATTACACCCGATCGTTGATTTGCGAATGTTAGAGCCGAACATGAGTTCGAATACATTTCTAACGAGTCATAAACACTAACTATGTTTCAGTGGTTCGTGGGAGAAGGAAACTGATTTGATTTGAATTAGAAGACAGTCAATGTCTGAAGAATGGGTAAGGATATCATTGTATTTTGACTGATTGATACCTGGAAGTGGTATCAATTGTTGATGTTCAAACATACAAATAAATGTTTACATTCGAATGCTGCTGAGAAATGGAATAAAACAACTTCTGCACGAATGTCAAGAATTTTCAGTGCTATTGAAGTGTTGAATTAAAGTGAATCATCCGCATTCATCGTTAAGAGAATGTGAGCGATTCTATTGAAGTATTGTTGCAGGTCTTATGATTTTCATAAGGAAAATCTTTTTGTTAGTTTGAAATAACACTATTCCACGAACGGTTCTATTTTCAGATCGAATCATCGTTCAATCCGTAACAAACTTTTGTGACCCAATGATAGTTTAAGCAGAAACATAGTGAACACTTATTTGTAAGACAATTAGTGTGAAATATTTTCAACGATCTGAATGACGTTGTTTCTGAGTGGATCACGATAGATTAATGAAAGAAACCATTCGCGTTCAAATGAATAATTTTATTCGTATGGACAATGAAACGAAAAATAACAAAATGGTAACAAACTATTAGCTAAAGCACGTACATAGACAAAAACACTCAATAGAACGTCCCAAAGACTTCAAAAAATATCAAAAAGAAACTTTATTCTTAATTCGTTTGCCAAAGAAGCCTTCAAGATGCTTCAAAAACTGAATTTCAATGCAGATTGTGTCCAGAAAGATTTCAGTCTTCTCAAAGAATTGACTATATTTGAACAAATGCTCATTTCTATGACTGAATAACCCCGAACTCATCAATCACGAGCACATCAGATGCATATTATGAACGACAGTGATGTTGAATTATGCATTCAAAAACCACAATCGAATAAAAATCTCTCCAGCAACGTCCTGTCGGCGCCTTTAACGCGAATGATTCCCTTCAACTCATCAACATTCGTCGCAACCGGATGTTTCAATTCATTTTCCAAGTATTCTCGCAAATCTCGCTCACATGCCTGAATTATTTGCACGTTCATTGAAACTTCTCGCTCGTTTCATAAAGAGCGTACAGTCGCTGATCTAATTATCAGACAAATGCTACATATTATTATAGCTCGACTGCAGATTGCAACAATTGAACGTTGACTTGAAAACTAAATTTCAGTGAGAAATGCAAAGTATGTGGCGAAGAAACTGACAAAAATATCGCCGTGAACGTTTCGTAGCGCTACAATCTCAACATATTCAAATTCCATTGTTTTCGGATCCAACTGGTCACGTCTTCGTTCCAAAAATAACGGTAATGTATGCGTTCGTCTACGACCAACGTAATACGGCAAATCCGGGGATGCTGAAAATATTGTGGAACTTCGCTAATTCAATTCATTTCGCACTGAATTCAGTTCAAATCCGAATTGAGTCCAATTCAATTGGTATATCTTTCCCTGATAAATTTCATCCGGTTTCAGATCAGTTCTGTTCGATACTGAATCGACCTTCTTGCAGTAGATTTTCGATTGCAATTTTCATCAAGATTATATCAGTTCCGAAGTTGATAAACATTAAATGGCATTTCTTTTCAGTACCCCAATTGTTCGCCTATACGGATAGTTATAGGGGTAATTCTTTGATTCTGTTGAGACAATTAAACGATAAAAGATAAGAATGAATACTGAGGTGAATGCACACGATTTGGTGGTCTCCAACCACTTGGCGTTGGGTATTGGCTATGTTCGGGTATATCCGGAATAACCTTATGCGGCATCAATCGCTCTACATACTTCCAATCAACGTTGGCTTCTTCGAAACCAGTCAACGTCTTCTCTGCAAATGTAAGTCGAGAAATAACAATTCCAATGATACAAATACTGTGCGATTAGATTCCATTACAACTCTATGAATCGCTCTAATATGAAACTCGTCACGCTGTTATGTTTGAGTTTTATGATGACCAACTGAAGTGAATAAGTGAAGATTAAATAAGACGAAACTGAGGCGAAAATTTGTATACTTCATTTCAAACGCAATACAAATTCCGTACTTCTTATTTGATGTTTTCAAATACTTATGATAGAGTTCTGTTGAGATTATCTAATTTTGGGTCTTCAAATGGAATAAATCCGAAATGCTATAGAAATCTGCTCTCGTCGGAAATAAACCACGATATAGTTCTGTCAACATTCATTCATCTTCACTGATGTTCTCGTGATGTTCATTGTAAAAGATATTTCTGAATTATGTTTCACAACTTAATCGCTGAACCTTTACGTTTAATTGCATATTTCCAAGGGTCTTTCCATGGTTCATCGCCGATATCTTCATCAGCGGCGGTACTGCCCACATCCGTATCGCTTGCGAAACAACGACGGCTATCCGATTTCAAACACTTGCCAACTCGGCCACATGACAACCTCACCAATCGAGTCAACATCGTTCACAGACTGACAATACAATGAAATTGAACGATCAATTGCGACTGATAATCATTAGAGAGTTCTATTTTGGTTCAGTTCATGCTCTAAGCACACAGATCACCAATAAATTTCTTGTTATTGTTACAATTACTAAGTTCATCAGTATCACTGAAATAACTACTGCTCAATGACCATCACGACCA